TATACCAAATCTCACAGTGTAATGGATGGAGTAAGTGTCACCAAATGGCCCATGTCACTAGCCTGTAACACTATTGGAAGGTGGGAGAACCTTTAAGAGGTGGGGCCTCCTGGAAGCAAATTAGTTAATTGGGTGCACCCTCTTCAAGAGTATATTGAGACTCTGTCTTTCCTTTTGTTCCCTAGCCTCCATGAATGGGTCTCCTCTGCCATGCACTTTCACTGGGATGTACTATGCTATTACAGGTCCAAAGCAACAGGACCAAGTGGCCACAGACTGAAACCACTGAAGTTGTGAGCCAAAATAAATCCTTCCCATTATTGTCTGTTCCAAGTATTTTGTCAGTGACAGAAAGCTGACACCAAAAATTGGTACCGAGAAGTGGGGTTGTTGCTGTGCCTACCTGAGATGATGTGGGAGAGCCTTTGAAATTGGTTTGTGGAAGGAGTTTGCATAAGCGTGGGAAACTAGACTAGAGAAAGCCAAGAGCTTACTAGGAGATTCTGGTGAGGACTCAAAAGACTAGAATTCTAATAGAAATGTAGACAGTAGAGATTCTGTTTATGGGGTTTCATACTGGAATGAGGACTCCATTGGAAACTGGACCTGAGTCCATCCTTGTTATACATTGGCAAAGAATTTGAACACTTTTCGTTCATGTTCTCAGATTTGAGGGAAGTTGAGTTTACAGGTAATGCACTTATTTATCTGGTGGAGGAAATGTCAAGGGCTGCACAGCATTCATACTGTGGCATGAGTATTACTGGCTTCTTTTAGCCAAATTTACTATGTAAATCAGGAACAAAGAGGAGCAAAGAAGAAAATTTGGAAAACTTTCAGATTGACCAGAAAGGGAAAGCACCTAAAAGGACCTTCTAAGGGGTGCCATTGCTAAGGAGATTAGCATACTTTGCACTGGGAAAATTAGAAAGATGTGTTGAAGGCAGCTCAAAAAATGGTGAGGTCCTGTCCACTGCAGGCTCAAAGGTATGAAAGTGTAAACCCTTAACCAGGTGTAGTGGTGCATGCTTGTAATCCCAGAAACTTGGGAGGCTGAGGCAGGAGGATCCCAAATTTGAGCCAGTCTTAGCAATGAGTGAGACACAGTGGAGGGTGGAGTGGTGAGCTTGGGGATGTTGCTCAGTGATAACATACCCTTGGGTACAATCTCCAGTACAAAATAGTAGGAACCTTTTTATTTTAAACATTTCAAGTACTTTCATTGAAGAAGAGAGACCCTGTACGTGATGTTTCAGAACACCTGAAATATTGTTTTCCTGTAATTGATTTCCTGTGTTTGGCAGTCAAGACAAGAGAGGCTGCTGTGGATGTGGCTCATAAAGACCCAGGTACAATTTGCATTAATGGAACACCTGCCATCATCCACATGATGCTGGTGTTGCAAGCATGCAGAATGCAATCATGGAATCATGGAGGCTTCCCCCAAGACTTCAAAGGAAAAACTGAAAGAAGTATGGCAGGTTCAGAATCCATGCAGGTAACCCCTGTTAGGACAATGTATAGTGAAGCTGTGAGAGTAAAGCTAAATGTGCAGCAGAGACTCAAGGAAGTTAAAGATGCCACGAACATGGAGCACCTGCCAAGGGAAGCCAATAGGCTGTGAGCAGAGCCAGCCCAGGAGAGTGGCCATGTGGGCTGCAGCCAGCAAAGCCACAGGGGCAGGGATGCCAAAACCTTTTGGAATTCAGATCATGCCACTGTGTACCCAGATGCTAGATATGCAACAATATTATGTAACTTTTGCTTTGTGAGTTTCAGTTTGCTTTGGTTTAATCCTCCCTTTCTGTGTCCCTGTTCCTCCCTTTAAAAATAGAAATGTTTACCTTGGGTTGTATCTTTGAAGTATGTAGCTTTCTTTTGATCTTTACAGCTGAATTTGCCTTGATTCTCAGAAGAGACTTAAACTTGGAATTTTGAGCAATGCTGGACCTATTAATACTGAGAATTCTTGGAGATGGACTGAATGTATTTTGCATAATGAGCTAGACATGAACCTTTGGGGTCAAAAGGTGGAATGGTGCAGTTTGGATAAATACTCCATAAAGGTCAAAATGTTACATACTTGGCTTCCAACCGGTGGTGCTTTTGGGAAATGGTGGAAACTTTAGCAGGTGGGATTCATGGGAAGAAGTTACATCTTTGGGGAAAATGTTCTCAAAGGGAATATTGGGAAGCTGGCCCCATCTATTCCTCTCTTTCATTCTTAGCTCCATGCTTCTGCCTTGTCACAGGCTCCAAAACAATGGGCCAACTGATCATGGACTGAGACCTTAAAAACTGTGAGCCAAAATAAACATTTCCTCTTTAAGTTAATTATCTCAATTGTTTTGTTACAGTGATGAAAATCTGACTAATATACACAGATAAAACCTGACTTCAAATATGTCATTTTTTCGTGGGGGAAGGATATGGAAGCAAATAACTAAAATGCTCCCTGTATATAAATCTAGTACACTAATGTGATGCTTCTAGATTTTTGCTTTTATGAATAAAACGGCTATAAACACTTGTCATAGGTTTTTGGGTGAATATAGTCTTTGTTTCTATAAGACGAATGCCTTTGAGTACAATTGGTGTCTGATCATATAGTAGCTACATGTTTGAAGATACTTTTTTTTTAGTTTTCTAGAGTAGTTTTCCCATTTTGCATTTCTAGTATCAAACTCTTATCATGAGGTTCTCTATACTTTTATCAGCATTTTGTTTGTCACTATTTTTATTTTAGTCATCCTGAGAGATGTTTAGTGATATGTCATTGCGGTTTTAATTTTCATTTCCCTAGTGACTGATATGTCAAACATCTTTTTCCTGTGCTTATTTCCCATCTCATATCCTTTTTAGTAGGGTATATCTTTATGTCTTTGACTAATTTTTAATTGGAGTTTTTTCCTATGGGGTTTTGAGAATTCTTTCTATATTGTAGTTACTAAATACTAGTCCTTTGTTGGATATATGGTTTGAAAATATTTTCTCTTGTTCTGTGACTTGTTTTAACAATATCTTTTACATAGCAAAATTTTAATTTTCATAAAGCCCGATTTCTTTTTTTTGTTGTTGTTTGGTATCAAATCTAAGATTTTGCCTTGTCTTAGGTCCTGAAGGTTTTCTTCTATGTGTTCTTCTGAAATATTTATAGTTTTACATATTCTAATAAAGTCTATGACCCTTTCTGAGTTATCTTTCTCTTATGGATTTTAATTTTATTTGCTATTATAGAACACATTCTGCATGATTTCAATTCTATTAAGTTTGTTGAGGTTTATCTTATGGTCCAGAATGTGGTTTATCATGGCATTTGTATGGCCTATCTTGATGTATATATTGTGGCCCTTTGAATAGAATGTGTATTCTCCTGTTTACTGATGGATTATTGTATAAAAATGATGAGATTCTGGTGATTCTAATCCTGGCTGATTATATATGTAGTTGTCCTGTCAATTGTTTGAAGATAGGTATTGAAGACAATGACTAAAATTGTGGTTATGTTTTTTTTTTTCTTAAAGAGAGAGAGAGAGAGAGAGAGAGAGAGAGAGAGAAATTCAATATTTATTTATTTTTTTTTAGTTTTCAGCGGACACAACATCTTTGTTTGTACGTGGTGCTGAGGATCGAACCCGGGCTGCACGCATGCCAGGCGAGCGCGCTACCGCTTGAGCCACATCCCCAGCCCTGTGGTTAGGTTCTTTAACCTGCCTATTTTACATATCTGTTGTTTAGAACCCATACTTTGGTATTTCTATCTTTTTGGTGGATTGACTCTCTTATCATTATATGATGATCTTATTTGACTTTGGTAATTTAAGTTTTTTTCTGAGAACTATTGTTGTGATTTCAATGAATTTTACCAAAAATATTCATGTGTTTAAGGCATAGTCAGTCCCAGGGTGGTGCTATTGGGAGGCGATGAAAATTTTAGGAGGTGGTGCCTAGAGGGAGGTTTTTGGTTGTTGGAGGAATTCTCTTGAAGGAGATTCTGGGAACCTAGACCTATACTGCATGTTTGCATCCTGGATCTTGATGAAAGAACTTTTGCTCTACCACATGCTCCCTGCAAAATGTATTGCCCTTGCTAGAGGTCCAAAGCAATGGGGCTGCTGAATCTTGGAAATCTTTTTTCTTTCTTTTTTTTTTTTTTAAACATCAGAAATTTATTAGTAGCTCAAAACATTACATTGATCTTGACATATCATATATCATACATTTGATTCAAATGGGGTATGAATTCTTATTATTCCCACTTGAACAGATTGCAGGATCACATTGGTTATACAGCCACGTTTTTTCTTTATGAATTAATTAATTCAGGTAATTTGTTATAGCCCTGCAAATTCAAATATATCTTCTTCCCCTGATATTCATATAGACACATATTTGGGAATTAATGATGTTTGCACAATATACCTTTTTAATTTTAACCTGCATATATTGTTTTATTTGAAGTGAGTTTCTTATGGAAAAAAATACTTAGATCTTATACTATGCAAATCTACTTTTCTAATTTAATTCTAATTCATATATTTGGACAATGCACATTTAGTGAAATTATTGATTTGCTAAAACTTAAGTGTATTTTTTTGTTATTTTCTTTTTTTTTTTTATTTCCTTGTTTACTTTTCTTACCTTCTTGTGGGATACTGGAACATTTTTTGGATTCCTTTTTTTGGTCTATAGTGTTTTTGAGTAGAGTGTGTGTGTGTGTGTGTGTGTGTGTGTGTAGCTTTCTTCCTGGTGGTCTAGGTATTACATTACTTATGCCTAACCTATCACAGACTATTGGTGCTGTAGTTTTACCAATTTGAATGAAATATAAAGCCTTGCCTCCTTTTAAGTCCCTTTACCTCTACCAGTTGTAGTAAGATTGTCTTTAATACATTTCAAACCAAACTAGATAGTTTTAAAATTTTTGCTTCTACTATCAAACATAATATAAAAATTCAAGAGAAGGAAAGTCTATTTTATTAATTCAGATGTTTACTTACCACTTTATTCCTTTGTTGTGCTTCATGTTTCCTTCTTTTTTCATTTTTGAATGATATTATCTTTAAGGTACATAATTCTGGGTTGAAAATTCTTTACTTTCATTATTAAAAATTGTTCCTCTTTCTTTTGGCCTCCAAGATTTATGATGAGAAATCCACTATCAAATTTCTTTCCTCCTGTAGTTAATATGTCATTTCTCTCTTTTTTTTTCTTTACATTTCACAAATTTGAATGTAGTGTGCCTTGGTGTGAGATTTATTTGAATTTATCTTCTTTGATACTTTCTCAGCTTCTTGATTCAGCAGGTTTACATCTTATATCAAATTTGGGAAGTTTTCAGTTACTACTTTGAATACTTTTTCAGGCTTGTCTCTTTTATCCTCCTTCCAAAACTCCAGTGACATGAAAGTTAAATTTTTTGGCAATCCAATTGAATCTTAAGTCATTTTTTTCTGTGTCTTTAGATATAATAATTTTTCTTTTTATATTTTTTGGTTCATGAAGTCTTTCCTCTGTCTCTGCCATTCTACTCTTAAGTTCATAATTAAGTTTTTTTATCTTCTGCTAAGAATCCATTTACTTCATATCTTCTATTTCTTAGATGATTTTATTTTTCATTGGATTCAAGTGTCTGTAATTGTTTCCTGATGTTCTGAGATTAAGGGTGATAGACCTGAGGTAAGAAGCAAAAAAAAAAAAAAAAAAGAAAAAAAGAGACAGTACTTGGGATTAATCACTATGGAATATTTAAAAAGGAAAAAAATAAAGTTGAGGGCCTTTTTGTGGTTGAGAAGCATACATTTTTGGTTGCAAAAATCTAGTTGTTGTTGTTGTTGTTGTTCCATTTTATGCTCTCTCACAGTCATTACATCCCACCCCCAATTTCTCACGTTCAGAGAGGCAAGAAGATCCATGTTCTGGGAAGTAGTGAGACTGAAATTTGGGTCTTTCCATCTCTTTCATGTATGCTCTTTCCATTAGGAGATCAGGGAACTGTGAGGTTTGATATTAGACAGATGATTCTTTTAGAGGTGATCATGGTAGAATTTAAGAGGAAGAAGTGAGAGTATAGATTTAAGCATTAGGGAATATAAAAGGAAGAGAGATGATTGGTTTTTTTTTGCTAACTGTGCATCAATTTACTAATTTTTCTGTATTAAGATTTACTACCATTATAATAATACCTATGTAACAGAGTTTTTGTAAGAATAAAGTGGTCTAATACCTATAAAGCATTTAGATTAGTGCACAAACACTCATGTATGTTCAGATTTATTTTCATGTAATAGTAAATGTGATTGTTATACCTTTTCTGATCAACAAAAGGAAGTCAAATTAGAATCATAGCAAATAAGTATTTTATAATAAGCAAAACTATTTCAAAGGGAAACTTGAATAAAACACACTTGCATTTTCCTCTCTATTGAGAAATTTCCTGGAAGAATAAACAGGAAACTTATACTTGTGGTTCTTGGCTGTAGGACAGGAAGCGGTGTTGCTGAAAGAGGGGTTGTAGAACTAGACAGATTGTGTTGGAGAGTTGCTTTTAACTAGAATTATTTTCTAAGTTTGGAAGTTTAATATCTATGAATTTAATACTTTACTAAATTTTTTGAAAAGGAAACAAAAAGTAAAATTGGCAATCATAAGAAATTTCCAGTTCTTTCTCTGGAAATATTCAAGTAGAGGGTGTATATCCATTAATTAAAGATGTTTTCAAGAGATATCCCCTGTGAGGATGGGAAGAATTTAATTGCCTCTAATGTCCCTATGTTGTGATTACCTGAATTATAGGTAATTTCTCTATTCTGGACTTCAATCAGGTGCTAATCACCAAGTACGTGCTGTAGTGAATCTATTTAATTAGTCAAATCCAACAAACACTACTTTTAATTGCATGCTTCATTTGCTTTTTAATTCTACTAGTTTTACTTTTGTCAACCAGGAAGGCTTTGCATTAAAGGAGAGACTTAGTATGACCTAATATCACTGAACTAACATTGAGAAAATGGTCCTGACAGTGTCTAAGTGCCAGATAGGTCCCCTTGATTGATGAATGCAAAGTAACCTGATAACATCCAAAGGCCAAGGCTATCAGTCAGTTCTGCTTTCATAAAAGAGACAGATTGCCCAATATCCCTGTTCATCTGAATTTCATGCTTATATTTGGAAAGAATCTGAACTGGGCTGCTTACCTTCTTAGCTTGACTTTTGTTCTAATTTGCAATCTCTGTTTTGGATTCTAGTGTTATTGACCTCTTGTCTGTTGGTACTTTCATGAACTATGCTCTGTGGCAAGGTTTGATATTTGCTTTTTCTCTGTTCAGAATTATGTTTCCAATGGGAAAAGAACTTCCTAAAGAGAATAACTTTCTAAATCAACATTATTATGAAGTTGCCTCTGTAATTATCATAGCATTAAATTTTATTTTCTGTACAACAATGGCAATACCAAATGATATAAAAGGAGCCTTTATTATTGCCTCAAGTTAACCTTAGTAAGGTCATAGAATGCTGCAACCTTTAGAACATGTTGGAGCTGTAAAAGAATTTTTTTTGTGTGTGTGTATATATATATGTATATACATATGTATATACATATATATGTATGTGTGTGTGTGTGTGTGTGTGTTTAGCAAAGTTCATCAAGCTTGGTAAAATAAAGTACAATTATCCAAAGAAACTGTATACCAAGTACATTTTCCCTCCTAGGAATTAGTGTGGGAAATGAATATTGCTGAGAATCATCAGAAAAGTTTTCCTAGTATTGACTTCATCTGACTAGAAAGGGAGAGGTAGTAAATGACTCACCTTTTAAACGTAAGTGAATCTTTTTAGTTAACTTTGGCACCAAGCAATATTCTGGAGACATTCATTGGTAAATGAGTTAAGCAAATTAGGATCAAATTTCTCTCAACTGCAAAAGCACACATTGCTAGACACTGGTCTGATCAAACTCATTTTGCGCTATATCAAGTAGAATCCAAATATACCTTGGATTAATTGGCTTCTGAACAACATCATTTTATAGTGTCTGGGGATTGCAAAATCTTTTCATCAGCTTTTGAGAGAAATTCTTTATGAAATTCAAGTGTGGTTCAATATTAAATCTTGGCTTGTACCACTAAAATTTTTCCTAGGGGCTAACTTCATTTCTAATTGATTACCCAGTACCACATCACTGGGCAAAAATTCCCCTAAGTTCAGTTACCTCTTGGTCACATTAGTTTAGATAAGAATTTTTTAATTTTTTTTAAGAGGAGGAAAAGTTTATTTGACACTCACAGTTTCAAAGGTCTCAGTACATAGACAGTTAGCTCCATTGCTCTGGGCCTGAGGTGAGGCAGAACCAGAAATAAAATGTGTATTCCAAAGGCATGCCCCAGGGACCCACCTCCTCCAGCCACACCCTACTTGCCTACAGGCACCACCCAGTTAATTCATTCAAGTGGATTAATGCACTAATTAGGTAAAGGTTCTTATCTTAACTAAGCAGTATACCAAATATTTGTTGTCTTGTTTCTTGATATTTAAGTAATATTTAAAGGCTTACCAATGAAATTGTAGCATGCTTTTGCTCTGGATTTTACAGTAAGTATCACATTTACAAACACTAAAGCAAAAAATATACAGTGTGCAAAGTTATTTAACATCCATAAGAGCACAAACATAAAATAACACCACTTTTGTCATTAAGAAAGCATGTTAATATGATCATTATGTACTTCAGTACCCATGTCTTTTAGTTAAAAGTAGGTTATTAATGACATAGCTTGCATAGCTTGCTTCTGAGTTCAGGAAAATGGTAATCAGGCTAGTTATGAAATTCTTGGGCCATGACTGAGAATTCTATTATTTTGTTTTCTTTTAACATTGATCGTTGCATAAGGTACTGCTAACCCTTGCTAATTAAAGCTGCTTTGAGACTTGCTTGGCAAGTTCAGAATTCTTTTGTCGTTCTAACTCATTCACTTTCTGTTTACCTGGGATTTCAAATTATGCTATATCTTCTCATTTTATCCCCTATATTATCCTCTCTTCCACATTTTCCATACTTCTATCTTTCTCTGCTTCATTTTGATTATTTCATTTCATTTTTGATTACAGTTCATGAATTCTCTTCCCAGTTGTCTGTCTTCTAATTTTGAACTCATTCAGTTTTAAGTATGAATCATTGTACTTCTAATGCCCCAAAATTATTTGTTCTTATTTTATAATTTCTTTTCTTTCTCAAAATTCTTTATTGGAGGGGATTTCTTTTTGAACATAGTGATATATACTTAAAGTCTCTGTGTGAGAACTTTATCATCTGGATTTCCTGTAATTCTAAATCTTTTGTCTCTTATCTCTCTTGGTTTTTAATTCTATTGCCTGGTTACTTTTGATGATGTTAAACAGTGTATATAAGAAACTATAAGACCGATTTAAAGCAGAGAAAAGTGCCATTCTATAATTTATTAATTTATGTTTTATTTTGGCAAGAGGCTAGAGACAATCAGTGATCCCAGATCATCTCATTCTAATCATAAAATTAATAAGATATGAAGCTACATTTTAGCCCCTGCAAGAATTGAATCATTTTTGATCTATTCTTACTCCTAGGACTCAGCCCTTTGGGTCCCTAACCTAAAATATGGGGTATTTTACCAGAGTAAGTATGTTACTCTAGCCTGCAAGTCTTTAAAAAAAAATATCTGCTCAACATTTTAGCTTCTTTCTTAAAAGAGAAAAGGTCTTTAGAAAAGTGGTCCTGAAGGCAAAGCTTACTTTTCTGGGTTCATTTATTTTCCGCTGTCTGTTTATACTTATAGATGTACATAAGAAACTACATATGAATAAATGAAAAATAAAATTTCATCTGCTCAAGACTTCATCATGTCATACCCACCCCACTCCTCAAGATTTTACTTCTTATGAATATATTAAAGAAATGTTAAAAATCGACTCTGGGTCTGGATCATTCTTTAATCACATAGATGTGCAAGAGTTATGTAATCTTTGCAAAGCCTTTTTCTTGGTATTATTGACATATGTCAGGATAAAAGTTTGAAGACAAGTCTACTTAAGGGTTTAGAATGATTTCAAAATATTTGTTAAAGAAGAAAGTTTACTTTTACTGAATTTTGTTTATTTGATCTATTGAACTGGAATAAAAAATGAATCTAATAATTGATATTAATAGTTTAATGGTAAATTTACCTTGTTTTGCATAAATTAATGTAGGTCACAAAGAGTGATCATTTGGTAAAACTTTAACTTGTACATGAAGGAAAATAATATTAATATCTATCCTAAGAGAGGTTACATATAGATTCAGAGGTTCTGGGTTCAAGTGTTTGCATGGTTACTCATTATTGATATAACCATGGGAAAGTCATTCAATATGTTTAGACCTTACTTTTCTCATTTATAAAATAAAGAAATTAAGAGGTTGAATTGAAACCTTTTTTGTGTGTTTGGAGGCGGAGAGAAATTCTTTCTTCAAAGAAAATATTATATAGAGATTTAAAATTTAAAATGCAAATGTTCTTCAAATCTATAGGGGATTGATTCTAGGATTCCATGGACATCAAAATCTGCAGATGCTCCAGCCCTTTATATAAAATGGCATAGTATTTGCACATAATGTAAGCACATCCTCAAGTAAATTTTAAATCATCTCTATATTACTTA